GTAGAGACAAGAAAGTGAACAAAGCATCTCAAAGAACATTAACACATTTTAAAGGCAGTTGAACCATCAAAAACTTAACAAGCAAAAATTTCCAAGGAGCTTTCTAAGCACAGACAACTTATGTCTGCAAACCCAAGCTTTGAAACAGTGTCACTAAGCATTGACCAAAAATAGTTACATTGAGACAACTATGTTATGTACAAGCCCCTTTGGGAAATAACCTAGAGATTCMAAAAATTTGAGCCCTTGATCCTCATTGTAAGAGCAAAACCAAAGATAGAATATAGAAAACAGAATGGATTCAAGTAATATTTTAATGCAGGTTTTTTTTTATATTAAGCCTGAAGAGTAGCAATTTAGGCAAGATTTTAGCTCCAAATTTCATGATTTTTTTCTATTTGTCTATCACATGCACAGCAGGATAAACATAGGCCAAACAGCTGGGCCTTGACCACATGCCCTCACATAGTTCTGTCTTCTTGTGGCATCCGCCTAGCCAGAAGTTATTTTCAGCAAAGGTCAAATTCTGGAGTCTATTTAGAAAGCAAGAAAAACCCTTATATTTGTGAATCTCAGTTTTATATCAATTGAAACATTCAAGGGATAGTTACTCAAAAAACCACGTGATGAGCAGCTTGACGTGTCAAGATAAGCATATCCTTACAGGGAAATTCATTTCCTTTAGCACATTATCCTTCTCTTCCCCTGCTGTCACATCCATATCTGAAACTAATTCAGGAATTGAATTATGTTCATGGGGTCATAGACCTATTTAAACATTCAAAGACATCTGGGCTTGAAAGGCAGATTTTGTAATATGAGATATGAGAAATCAGCTCAATATCTTAAGTTGAGCTTGCAGCAGGGACTTGGAGAAACACAGTAGATGCAATTTCTCGCTTACTCGAGACACAGAAGTGGCCACAGCTAAACTGAAATACTGGCAGTCTCACTTGTGGAATTACTGCCTTGCCAGCACAGAAGTGCCCATGTCAAATTCACTAAAGCCCTTAGCTGACTGTTTAGCTGGCCAACTGCTATGCGAGTGTAACAATTTTCTCATCATTTGTCTGGGTTAGACTGAAATTAGAAACCTAGGGCTGCTGTTATCTATCCTTTGCCTGACTGTAAACTATAGGGCATGGAAAAGCAGTCACAACTTGAAGTCACAATTTATGGTCAGCAATTCCCTTGGTCTCTGGATCAAAGAAATGTTTGTTATTTGCCAGTGGAATAGAAGAAACCTAAGCTACCTAAACAGCACATAGAACATAGGATGTAAGAGAATGATTAAAAATTGGACATATTTGCCCATATTTGGAGTTTGGGCATATCCATGTACGAATGGCCAAGCCAACTTCCACAGTCTAGATGAACACAGCCTTGCATAGTTTTGTGAATATTAGAGATGTTTTTCTTGCACAAAATACTGAGCTTTTCTTGTTTTGTCCACTTGCCCAAAGTTGGGCACCAATTTACATGGTTAGGCTAGGAGTATTTAAATTTGATTAGCACCAGTAGTTCCCAGTGCCAGCTACCATAACAGCTTCATTATATGCAATTCTGTCAAGACAAGCACATACCACATTTTCCTTACCAATCATTTCAACAGAAGGGACAGAAAGGATAAGCTTTTCCTTAGTTGCATGTTATTATTAATTTCCCAGAATCGTTTTTCATTTGAATTGCTCCACCAGAAGCAATGCATTTCCAATGACTTGGAAGTATATTGAGAATATACTGCTCACAACATGATTTAATGCTAATGAAATGCTAATTCATGGAATCTTTTCCCCCTTGCTTGAGAAAAGGAGTTATTGCTGTAAGTTCCTGCCTGAAAACTCACAAGTTTTAAGTGTCACATTGCAGGCAGTTCACACATTGGAACATGCAAGTTATTCACACTGCTTGTGAAATTATGTAGTGGTAGGATGAGAGAAATAGCTATGCATTAAACATCTGTTTAAGCTACTCTAGTTACAAAAGAGAAGGTTGCACATAATGCCTATTGTCAGGAAAACTAATGAATAAATGAAGTGCCTCTTTGATGCAGGATGTTACATTCTAATACTTGAGACATCTTTTCTATTCACCACTGAACTCAATCCATCATTAATAAGCACGAAGACTTGCTTAGATGTAACCACGTAATTTGAATAGATCACAACAGTATCAAGTGTGAAACTGAAATAGGAGAAAATTAAATTAAGTACAAAAATTTCATCAGTTCAAAGGCAGTAAAATTCAGCGTCCACTGTGCCAGATCCAGAAACGTTATTTATAGAGCATCTAGGTTTTAGAATTTCCTAGAGTAGGTTCTTTGCCAACTAACCATGGTCATGTGAACACATAGGAAAGACTTCTGCAGAGCATTTACTGACCAGTTTACTAAACTTTTCATTTAAAATACAGCAATTTAAGCAGAAGCAAAAGCTAGTATTTCAGTTCATATAATCAAGGGAGAAACATTTAAAACATAACCCAGATAAGTAAATCTCTCCTGATGAGCAAATGTTTCTATACTGCACACCCTACTGATTTGTATGTCTATTCATCTACAATGAAGAGACTCATCATTGGGTCACATAACTTGCAACCAGGAAGATAGACAAAGTTTGCAACACTGAATACCCRTAAGTTCTAAAAAATAACATTATAGAAAAATATATACTTTATAAACCTTTTTAAACAATTCAACCAGTTGATCCACATTTTCTCCCAACTTGCATGACTGTTTGCCGGCCCAGGAAAGGTTTATTCAAAAAATCCCAGACTTACAATGGAAATATTGCTCCAACTCTTATAAACCTTTTGGTCAAGCATATACTGAAGTCTATTCCATTAAGCATGAAAAGGCTTCAACCACTTGCACTCAGCTCAATTGCTTCTTGTTCAATCTCAATCCAAGCAGTATAGAGATCCAAATAATTAGTGAAAAGCAAGGCTTTTGCCAACTTTCCCATAATCGCTGTACTTCAGCAGGAAAAAGTGTTGACAGTTCTTGTTCAAATGCCAATCAGAAGTCAACTCTGTTCATTACAGGCTCATTCCTTATTACTACTGTGGGTAATTTAATATATACCTACATGGACAAATGTTCCTTGACTTCCAAACATTTGTTTTTACAAGCAAATGTTTGGCACGTGTTGCTATTGAAACAGAGATGTTAAAGTCACTTGGATGAGACTTCCAGCATCACAGGCAGGCAGATCAACATCATGCTGACCAGCCGCCTGTCCCTTAACCATTTTGCTAAGCTATCACCATGCAAGTCAGCTGCCACCAAGTGACAAACCATACAGCTACCCCCAAGTAAATGGATTTGTGTTTATCCTATTTGCACAAAGCAGAGAAATCCACACAGGGCGGCAGAAGGCAGAATGTTTTGCCACTAGCATGTACATACTTCACCAGGCATATTTAAAGCCTATGCTCCAGGAATTCAGGCAAGTTATCTAGTTATACTTTTAAACTTCATTTTACTTGATTTGTTTAAAGTAGGCAGCTTCTGGTGGTAAAATGATCCATGACAAGAGAAATTTAGGAACTGCAAAATGTTTAAGCATTTATATTGCATTTATAGAAAAGTGCTGATGAGCAATCTTAACTTTTGAAGCAGTTAAAGCACCCAAGTTGCCTCCAGTAATAAGGTCAACAGAGGTTTCTAAGCATTCTTAAGTCTTTAGGAACTTAAGAATTAAAGTTTCACTAGTAGCTTAAGTCATTAATATACAGAGACAACAGCAGTATTGCATATGAACATAAGCATATTAGACCTTATTTAAGCCATCTTGAAAAAAGATTAAAGGGTAGAAAGATGCATGGACAAGTGATTATTCAGGAAGAGACAGCRTACAAGTGCACTTTCTTCAAAGCCTTGTGCCACGTGCTCTAGGTGTCCTTGCATGTGCAGGGGGTTGGACTAGATGATCTCTAAAAGTCCCTTCCAACCTTAAACAACCCATGATGAACCATTGTAGGAATACAAGAATCCTACCCTCCTCCTTGTTCACTTAYATCTATTAAAAAAGGAGAGTAGAGCCTAAGCTCTGGAAACAACTGCCACCTTTTATTACTGCAGTTGAGGAGATAACCTTTGGCAATAAAAGCAGTTTTCTAATAAAGCACCGATGGTAGATAAAAAATAATCCCAAACTTCTTTGAGCTACTGCCACCTCAGACTGTGGAATAAATAATGTTCGTTTTCCCAGAGGAAAAAGAACAAGGCTCTAACATAAGCATGCACAGTCTCAGCAGCTCCAATTTGCTATAGCCCCACCCAAAGGGATTGGGAGAAAGGTGCACTTGYATGATGTCCTTGCACACCAATTATTTCCTTCCATCACCTTATCTTGCTTGCCATTTTTAAGAAGATTGGTTTAACACAGAAATAATGTAGTCTGAGCTTTTTGATCTGCTAGCACAACCATATCACTCTGAGCCTGCTCAGACTGGATCCCCTAGAAAACAGGAAGCATAAAACTTAGGAGCTTAGACCAYTCAGTGGGAACAACAGGCACATGGTGACTAAAGAATAGATCAGTATTAAGTTCCTCATTGACAAGAAACTATCAAGATGCACTTTTCCCTCACAGCAACAGCTCAATAAACCACACAAACTGTTTGGAAAACTTCTACACAGGCAAGAAAACATCATTTTCTGAGGCACTTTTTGACCAAATGTATTCAGAAACAGAAACTTCAACTCCCCTTGCCTCGCAGCCCTCCTCTGAAGTATAAAGGGCAGCAAGCAGGGAGCTCCTTGCATGACCTGCCCTACTCTGAGCAAGCCTTTATTCTTCAGGCACAAAGAGCTACAAGCAGCAGTGCTAGGCTGCTCCACACTCACAGGGCTCCTCAGGAGCATATTGAGTAAAGTAAGAGCACAAAATCAAGTTTATTTTTTTCAATGGCGTACACCTTTGACACCACCTTTGGGAAGTGAACAAAGATACACTGTCAAAGGCAGGAACCTGCACAAAATGTTACTGTTTGCTCACCATGAATGCAGAGGCAGACTTAAGCAAATACAGAAATTCCACTGCTCTCCTGAGATTTCCTCCTGTAAGCTGAACTACTGCCAAGTTCACACAGCTCAAGCTTGGGTTGTGTCCACATGCCAGATAGAAGTTCCTGTAAGTGAGGGTGGCTACTCAGTCAAAAATTGAATGCCAGGCAAATTTAGTCTTACCACACTTAAAGATACATGAAATAAATGACCATCAATAGACTATCCTCGGCCCTTAGTTCACACAATTCAAAGCACTACTTTTACTGAAAACATTTAGTAAATATTTTGTCTATTATGAAGGCTAATTATTCTAAAAGACATAGCTGCAAGAAAAAAGAAATCAAAGCCTGTTAAATTTCTGCATTGTTTCCCTCAAATCTATCACTTGCTTCAGAAGCCATACAAACAGCCTTAAATTCTTTGAAAGCTTCAGTTCTTCAGAAGACAGTACATTCTTTCTAAATAAAAACTACCACTTTAAGACAAGCATTTACTAGAGTATGGTGAAAGKCACAGTGCAAATATAAGGACAGGGTGACTGATCTACAGTACAGAAAAAGGGGTAGCTTTAGGTGGAAGACAGATGTAGAAGATAGTTTAATCCAAACAGGATACAGCTTAATTGAAAGTGAGAGAGAAAAGGAAAATGGTTTTCTTTGAAGCACGAAGTATTAAAGTTTGCCACTGGAAATTCCATAGCTTTGTGGAGAATATCTACATTTCCTTGTTAATGCCTTCTACCAGGAAAGAGAGAAAGGGGAATTAGATCCATGATTCACATGCACCAAAACACCACACTAACACAACACATTGAACCAGATTTGCTTTCACTATTTCTGAAAAACTGTCAAATAAAACACTTGAGTTAAGTGAAGYTTTTGAAAAAATGAACAAGATAAAATTATACAGACTTAAAAAATTCCAGTGAAACCACTTTTTGTATAAGAAAGCTGGAAAGTCTCCTAGTAAAACTTAAATGAATTAGAAAGTTCCTAAAATAACTYATGTAGAAGCAGTGGTCTGATTTCTTCCCCTGTGAAAATAATGCAGAAACTACTTTACATTCAAATTAAGTTATATTTTGAAAATCAGACTTTCATTTTTTGAACTAATTTTTAAGCAATGCCTGGAAAGTAAACAATGCAGAACATGGGCACAAAATATATATACACACACACAAGAATTGTGTTAAGCCAAAGGACCACAGTATATGTGATTTGTTGAACTACGTATCTGTAAGGCTGTCATTCAATGCTAGCTACTTAGAAAAGTCACAGAAAAAAGCTGATCATTTGAAAGCCTAGAAAATATTCAAAAAGCTTTGATCTGCTGCTTTTCAAAGACTTGAGTCACAAAGCAAAATAGAAGGTAGAGGACAAAACCTTAATGTTTTAGGTAGCATTCGGGTAATACCTATAAGATCAAGGTTTGTCTGGAGTATAACGATCAAAAACGCAAAACATAGTCAGTAGCCTTAACAGGATAAAATTTACAACTATTATATAACCAGATCAAAGGCAAGTGCTGAGGAACATGCTTATTCCCTTAGTGCATCAATATTGCTTATAGTGCTTATATTATCTACACAAAATGAAGCAARCAATGACTCAAGAATGAATATTTTTAAACTTAGACATAACACAATATACTTGGTACTAAAAATCTGAATGTTAATTCACTAACAAAGGCAAAAAGACAAACCCATCTTCAGTTTCACATTAAAACATCTAATAATGTCATTATAAGAACTAAGAACAAATACTAGATAAACAGGTTAAGAAATCTACTTCAAGTCTTAAACAAAAAAGATCTATTTTGAAGAGTTTCAAAAGCACAGTAATGCTTTTAGTTAAGTWCTCATACTTTCATACGTACAGAAGACAGAAGTGAGTTTTTATCTGAACACTACGAATTCGAAACTCAAGATATTCAGTGATAAGGGCAGGAACACAAAACCTTAAAAAAAATAGAACTTACCAGATGGACAAGTTGTGCCGTGCCCCAAGTGCAGAGGAAGTGAGAACTTTCAGTCTGTGCAGATCTTGTTTATTTAGCCCTTAATGAAAGTTTCTCTCCTAGTAAGTTTATGTTGCATACAAGAGCCTACAAGAGCCTGCAAGAGAGAAGGAAAAAGAATCTCAGCTGCTGACTGCTTCTGTTCTAAGCACATTTGAGCTATTTTCAGCAGCAATGGGCTTGCCTACAATCAAAATGAAAATGCAGTACTGAAGAACCAGACTCTCAACCCAAACTAAAAAAATACCAGGAAATCCATAGCAGAGATTTTGTTCATTGTCCAAATTCTTAAAGAAACAGTACAAAACATGCACCAGTGGTGAAGGAAAAACTTATTAAAAACAAGACTRGGAATTTGAAGACTACATTATTTGCAGCTCAGCAAAAGAGTCACCGTAGATATTTAGTCAGAAAATTAGCTTTGAGAACAGCCTTCTCCGAAGATGCTTGCTGTCTTTACACAAAGAAAGCTTCCAAACAGAAATACTTGTTTACATCTAAGTGCATCTCACTCATCTAGCATACATATCTGAGGATAAATCTGTTGACTAAGCCTGAAGCCAGATGTTTGCTTCCACCTTGCATCTGAGTTTCCAGTCTCAGCACCAGTGCTATTTTGGAAGGTTAGCAACCCAGAGCTGCTGACACTGTTCCTGCACCAGGTGCTATTCAGTGACTTAAGTCTTCTTGCTTTCTTAACCACATTTCAAGCAGGTACTCTCACATAATAGTAGTGAATGACAATAATAATATATCCGTTAAGTGTGAAGCAAAGCAAATTAATGATTATRAAAAAAGACCCAATAATCTTTTGGCTGGTACAGGAAAGCTAATGACTTAAAACCTCAGACAACAGAGGTAAAGCTAAACAAATGAAAAATCCACCATACTTGCTTGTTTTTTTTTTTTTTTCTCCAGTATCTTCCACTGCAGATAAAAACTTCCTGGAGGTTCCTAAGGCTTCCTCTATAAGCCTTAGCAACTGGGACAGATAAAGCTCACTTTGTTTCAAAACAATTCTTCACATACATCCCCATAGCTAAATAGTGCCACTGAGACTATTAATTATGTTCAGAGGAAAGTTTAGAGATCTGAACTTATTCTCTACTTAAAATCTAGAACACAGGCTAGTGACCTAAAATTATTTAATATTTCGTTATATATAACATTCTCATTCATTGTTCCCTGGAGCTAAGTAGACTTACTTGAAAATATTTTGTAACACAACCCCGTGTCACTTTATTTTCTTATTCATTTACAAATACTTACTGTTTGAGTTATACTGGCACCTGAAACAGGATGCCAGATTCACAAGCTATTTAGTAAAACACTGAAGTGGTAAAGCAATGCTGGCTATTAGAAACAAACAGAAATACTTGCTCAAGACTCAAAATACTAGCTGAAGTTCACTCAAAATTGAGAAGCTGCCAGGTGTGATTTTGTGTATTAGCTTGAAAAAAATTGCTCTCACCTCAACCATTTGTGTTGCTACAGGTAAAAGCAGCCATTTAGAAAAAATCTCACACACACAATGCCACAAACTAAATACCAACCTGTTTAATCACTGCTGCTGCTTTATTCTCAGTATTAGTTTAGGACTTATTTCACCACAAACTTGTTCACACAAGTTAAAAAGCCCAGTTTATATTTAACTTAAGTTGAAGTAATTTATAACTCCAAGAGCTTACATGTTGTAGGCATGAAACCAATACATGACCTGTATTTTACCAAAATCTTGTAGCGTCAGATGCCACACTCTATTATTAACCAAAACATTTTTGTTTTGTGGTTACAAGCCAAACCAACAGGTACTTGTAGGCCACATCTTCATACTAGACAAACTTGAAGATAGTAGAATGTATAAAAACACTGCTCAGCCATAGCAGTTTGCTACCAAGCTACTGATGCAAGGCACTTGGCAATTCATTACTTCCTTCCTGCAGCATTTTCTCAGAACAGTCACATATTCCAAGTTCCCTGACTTACCGGTAGAGCTTAATTCATTTGTACCCTTCATTTTTCATATGTTTTCTGCAACTGATTTTCGTAAATTATGGCTTGTCTATTACTTTTACTATTTATTAAACTTTTTAAATATCGCTATTTCAGTATATACTGGGATTCCCACAGATTAGATATAAATCTGATAGTCATTGTCTGAGAAACATTACATGTCATAAATATCCCATGTACCAGCCAGCCACCTCAGAGAAACCTTATCACCTGATTGTGTTAATAGAACAGATAACCCTGCCAGAGTTACCAAGACTGCTGTATGAAGATATTTCAGAGAATAACACTCATATTTCTCCCTCTCAACTTGAGCAAAACATGTTTCAGATGCTTGAAGCCCGTGGTTGATGGAAGCCGTCTACCTCCTACGTATATCTGTGCCAGCACATGCAGCAATAGACTCTTCATTCAAGACATCAAGAAGCAGGAAATTATCTGCATCCCTCAGGTACAATTAATTGCAACCCACCTGGATACTACAGGTGTGAGACAGAGCACTTGTCTCTACTTCATGGCTTCATAATCTCAGGGCTATAGGGCTCTCTGGTTAGAGAGCTCTTATTTTCCACAAAGCTTAGCAAAGTATGAAGTTAGCTGAAGTCCATGAAGGAAACTTACTTTTAATTGCTATTAGCACATTCCCCTTATAAACAACTCTATTCTCCAGTATCTCAGAATATCCCAAAATAGCCCTCCACATTCAGAAACAAATACAGGGTCCCCACCTTAGCACTTTTCCACCAATTCCCTCAAATATTGACCATGAATTGGTCGCCTCACTAATACAGCTGAGGTAGCAAGATGACTACAAGTATTTTCTGTTATATAGAAACATAGGAATACTGTTTTCCTCTGGAACACACTAGAAACACTTGGAAATTGTAAAAGACTAAAGGAAACTTGGAACTGTTAAGCTTTGTTTTTTCCCTTACCTCTTTTTTGAATTCTATTGCTCAAATGGCTTTCACAAACTACTTGAGGAGTTATCAGAGACTCTGACCCAATAAAAAGTATCCAAGACACCTTCAGAACCAGTTACAGGTGTGTTTCTACTAACAACTCACACACTACAGAGACTGCTCAAGAGACCAAGCAAAAAAGCAGGCTTTCATTTGGCACCCACAGGACCAATGCTCAAGACACCTGCCAGTTTACCCCAAGAACTGCCTTGGCTTTTCTCCAGAAGAGTCCATCTGTGCTCTTTGAAAGGACACCAGCTGCCTTCAGACATACAGCCTGGAAGTTGTCATGTCTGTTCCCTCCGTAAGGATTATGATAAAGTGCAGTCTGTCAATTTAGGCTGAAAACTCTAGACTTTTATGAAAAGGTTTGAGAATGAGTAACTTCATTATCACATTAACCTGATTTTGCTATATACCTTTAAAAATTGCCTTTGGGAATCTTAATAGATATTAACAGAAGATAGAAAATGTTATCGGTTATACTGATGGTTGGATATTTCTGAAGATCTAAAAGGCTTTGACAGTCAGAATCTAAAATCATAAAGTTTAAGCTTGAGATGCAACAGGGTAAGAACAAAGAAACCTACCTCAGATGCTTATCAAGAAAGAATATCTTTCTGGCAAATGAATGCATTTTTAACTAGAAGCTAGAAAGAATAGTGTTAGGGTTTTTTCACTAGTCATCTTTAAGAAAATTTAATTCACTTCATCAAAACTAAGTATGCGGTGTAAGAATTCAAGAACACCAAGCTTTCTTAGTCACTAAAGTTTCTAACAATTTACAATACATTCTGAGTAATATATGACACTAAAAATTAAGAGAATCCCGATATTTTAATGTACTTGCTGCTTTGTTTATATATATAAAATGATAAAGTTATAACTTTAATTWTAACTTTAAGTCTGAAGCTGCACACTTCAAGAGGAAAAGCATTACCTAGAGATGTAGGTCATCTTGAGCATCTGTTGCAACCTACTTCCAACACTTGTGCCAGTTGCATAGAACTGACAGCAAGCGACATTACTGCTCTAATATAGGGAAAAAAAAAGGTCACTGCATCTATCACTGCGAAACTGGGCAGAATGATAGGCCTGCTCAAAGCATTACTTTGCTAGTAAAGTTACCTTGCCCTGTTCCAAGAGTAAACAGTTAAAAGTACATAGGGAAGTAAACATGAAGCTTTTTTTAGGAAGCAGAAAACAGGCAGCTATTGTGTGTCTTGCTCAATATCCACTGCTAGGCTATTGTTCCAAGAACTCTGCACAAGGTCACTGCCTGCACTCTGAGTGCTGGGCTCAGTTATTGTGGGGTGGGGTTTCTTTTGGTTGTATTTTCTTCCTACTACAGCAAATCTAAGACCTTAACCTCAGGTGACACACAAACAAGGACCATAAACCTGCTAAGCTCACTGTAATTCACAAGCTTAAATGACTGGGTTTGTTGGACAAACTGCTCAAAAGGGTTTCCTGTGCCCAAATCCGGAGTTTGCTAATTGGGGGTTTAAAAGACTAACTCTGGATGAAAGCAACTTGCAAAGAGCGCACGTTTTCACAATAATGACACCAGGTCTTTCAAATCCTCCTGCAGGTCCAGCAAGTGGTATCTCACCTTGGATAAGGCCACAATGGCAATTGTCACTTACAAACTTGACTTTGATCAACATTGCCTGAGTGGCACAAGCAGCCATTACACATCATGAACAGCAGAAGATTGTGTTACCCTACTTCTCACGCTGATGCTCTTTGAAACTTCTGCCACAGGTACTGTAGAGCAGGGCTGACGTTCCAGAACGATTTTCTTACAGTCACTTCTCACACCTTGCTGAAAGGCAAGCTAACCACCAGCAAGCTGTAATCCAGCCGTGCGGGGACACCATCCAATCCTCCATGAACTACAGGCTTCATGTATTAGAGCAAGAGCCAGACCCTCTTTAGCTTAATATCTAGGAGTACTCACCTGGAAGAGGTGATAATTTCCTGTCTTTCAGTGACTGTGCAGTACTAACACTTGATCAACAAGCATTGCCATTCTCAGGCTGCAGGACCATGGCTGCCCTCTTATCCTCAAGCCAGCTCTTCCATGAGAAACAGACCTGATTGACACTGATTCATCCTAGTCCTT